TTTTTGAAAGTAAGGTGAGTGTTATTGTTATTTTACTAGGATCCCGGTCCACAAAATTCATGCACAGAGAGCGGTGAGGAGCGGTGTCCCTCAGCCTGACCTGCACCCTCTGCAATCTGGGAGCCCTCAGGGGATATCCTACTGACGGTTTAGGCCTGCTCCCGTGGTTCTTTGCTCTCTGTGGACCTGCCTGCTTGATGCCACCATAGGCCTTGGTGTCTGCTCTCTGTGGGGGCCCTGCGGGGGACTGCTTGCCCCTTGCTGCCATGGCCAAGGGCAAGCAGGGCCCTGCTGTCTGCTCGCTCACTGCGGAGGACGTTCCCGCCCCACCCCCAGCCGCTTGTGTGCGCACCAGCTCGGAGCGCCTGGGTCCTGGGGATGTTCCCGCCCCACCCCTGGCCGCTTGGCGCCTGCGCATGTAGGCCCAGAGTGGCTAGGGGCGTTCCGGGACCCCGGCTGCTGTAGGCCTGCAGACTCAGAGCGGCCTGGGTCCTGAGGACACCCGTCCCCGGGACCCAGGCCACTTGGTGCCGGCGCGCGTGCAAGCAGCCGCCCCACCCCTGGCCGCTTGGCGCCTGCATATACAAAGTAACACACCACCTTTGTCAGGTTAATTTGCGTACTCACTCCTGATTGGCTGTGGGGTGTCATGAAGGTATGGTCAATTTGCATCTTTCTTTTATTAGTGTAGATTGCCAGAATATTATTTTGAATATTTCCCAATTAAATTTGAATGCATTTATTTGCAGAATATATTGAAGTTTTTACACCTGCAAATTTTCTTAATTGTAACCCTAAATAGACTGGCTGTCAAATCTAGTGAGGTTAGTTTGCACTTTAGCAGGATGTTTTATTTTGAAAGGGACCAGATCTTTAAAATAATTCTCTTGTCGTTTAAGACAAAAAATTCTTTTTTTTTTCCTTTTAACAAATTCTTAAGGGCACTGAAAAATTATAAATCCAAAGTAAATCCCATTTCATTAATGAACTTAAAGTTAGATTTATGCTGAGACTTTAGAAAACCAAATTTTAAGACATTCCCCACTATGTGTTCACTATGAGATGACCATCTCCCACAGAAAAGAATATTAAGGAGTTGTTTGAGTAATATTCATATCTCTAAGTTATGATTCTCCTTTCTGAATTTATATTGTGAGATGGTTTGAGAGTCATAATGTGTTGATTAAAATTAAAATGCTTTACATAAGATTCTTTGTTCTTAGGCAGTTTCTATTTATTTACATTTGAGTAGTGTAGCCTATATTCATGGTGCAGGTAGATGTTCATTTAATTGAAGCTGCATATCTAGATGTCTCTCCTAGCTTTTAGCCATGTTTATCATATGATAAACATTAAAATATTTTCCCTACAGCGTTTCAAGGGTACTGAAAGTATAAATAAAGTGTCTGAGCAGGTGAAAAATGTGAAGCTTAATGAAGATAAACCCAAAGAAACCAAGTCTGAAGAGACTCTGGATGAGGTTTGTATATAATATTTTCTTACTTAGTTCTTATGTGAATTTGAGAAAAGTATTTATTTTGCAGCCCTGATTTCTCATAATGAGGGGTAGTTGAATATGGCCACTTAACAGTAAGCCAAACACTAATTTGTTGTGTATTTCCCTTAGGTGTACTGAATCAGAAAAAGGCCTAAGCTGTGGGGGCCTGGTGGGGAAGCCTAAGAACCAGTGCTTTACAGTCAGAAAGCCTTTCCTTTGATATACCTCTAGCTTTGTGCTTTTTGTTGTTGTTGTTGTTTTAAATCCTCACCTTGGGATATTTTCTTTGATTTTTAGAGAGAGAAAGAGGGAGGGGGAGAGAGAGACATCAATGTGAAAAAGAAACCTCGATTGGTTGGGGCTGGAGATGGGCCCTAAAGATAGGTATGTACCCTGACCAGGAATCAAACCCGGGACCTTTCTGTGTACGGGATCATGTTCCTACCAAATGAGCCACACTGGCCAGGCCTAGCTTTTCTTTTTATATTGCTTCTATGTCTGTCCAGAACTTCTGAGCTTTCAAAGCTATTTTAAGATCCTCATTCTATAGCCAAGTTGGACTGAGTGAAAGAAACTCCATTTGGTTATTTTTAGCTTTTTCAAATGTACATAGTGTCCTTGGCAATAGAAATAGTCCAGTCCTGCCTGTAGGGTATAAATTCATCTTCTAATCTCTACCAACCCAGGTTTTATATATTGGTACAAAGATGTGAAGACCCAGATAAAATCATTTCTGCAAATGGACAGCTTTCATGGAGCTAAGGACAGCTTTTAGAACAGCCTCAGTAGAGCCGAACTGATTATGATCTTGCCACTCATTCCTGGCAGTCTTAATATCAGTGATAATAACCTAATAATAATATTATTAGTTACTGTAAAGAGGTGTAGCCTATTGATAAGGTGAAGCATTTGGGTATTAGTGGAAAGAGTATAAATAAGATCAGGTATAGAAGTGTAAATGTTTTATGACTAAAGCTAGTTAATTTGCATAACCTTTTACTGTTGGTTGAAAAGCAAATATTAATGTTTGTGGAAAGGTACACACAAGCAATTTTGAGGTTTATCACAAGTGTATAATTTAATGCATGCTATACTAGTCAAATATTGAGCAGCTAATAAGGTAAATAGAGGTATAATAATTACTAAAAGGGTTGCAAAGCAATTGGCAACATAGTTTACCTTACAGAAAATTAGAATAAGGGAAGTGTATCATTAAAAGGTTAAACGAGACTTACAAATAAAAGTAAAAGGCAGTAAGGGCTGGAGACAATCCAGAGAGATCCTGTGAGGGTCCTAAACTATCTCATTTTATTTATTTAAGACCTATTTATTTATTTATTTATTTATTTATTTTTGGATCCGTGAGTTAATGTCATGTCAGAACAACTAAAAATAAAGTGTAAGTGACCGCTATTCTTGACCATAATCTTGTGTCATATAAACTGAGTTACTCCCACCGGGTTTCATCTTGCATTTGCAAATAGTAGCCTTCAGGGTTTTGTGATCATGTTCCTCTTAATGACATTTTAAAAATATATTTTTATTGATTTGAGAGAGAGAGAGAGAGAGAGAGAGAGAGAGAGAGAGAGAAAGAAACATCAATGATGAGAATCATTGATCAGCTGCCTCTTGCATGCCCCCTCCTGGGGATCGAGCCTGCAACCCGAGCATGTACCCTGGACTGGAATTGAACCCAGGACCCTTCAGTCCACAGGCCAACTCTCTATCCACTGAGCCAAACCAGCCAGGGCAGGACTTCTTTTCATTTCATTTAGCTGGCCAGCCTGAACCCAATTATGTGCTCTCATTGTCTTCCTAGCACCTGGATTCCATAGCCTCTGGGCCAGTACTTTGCTGATTTCCTGCTGTCTGCTTTCTCTGTTCATGCCTAGTGACTACTGAACGGGACAGTGTAATTCTAGACTGATAGACTTACTAAAGATTCTTGAGCATGGTATGGTTTGCAGAATATTACTTTAGAAAACTTACTAGAATAACCATTTGGGCCCTGACTGGGTTTTCTCAGTGATTAGAGCACTGGCCTGGGGAAGGCTTAGTATGATTTTTTTTTTAAAGGATGTAAAAACCTCAGTATTTTTTATATTGACTACATGTTGAAATATGTTGAATGTATTGGTTTAATGTGGAACTAAACAGCTGAAAATTACATTTGTGGCTCTCATTGTATTTCTACTGGGCAGCATGCATGACATTCAGAGTCTTCCAGTGTCTGGCCCCTGCCCAGCTTCAGATTTACTATTTCTATAGAAATACTCTTCAGCCACAAATGGCTGCTCATTGTCTACAAAACTGCCCTTTCCCACTTCCATCCTTTATTATTTACTTAGTGCCTCTTTTAACTTCCCTACTTGTCAGTTCTGTATCCACTTTATCTTAGCATCCTGTGCTTCCTCTACAGGTCTTACAACATATGTAATTATAGACATGTCTATACTCTGCTAGAGGGAGGGCAAGTACCATGTCTGCCAATTCACCTATGTATCTCTAGTTTCTAACACATAGAATGTGCTCAAATATTTAAATTAATAATAGGAACAGTTAGGTAATATATTCTCATTTTTAGAGGCTATGATGTGATCCAGTACATTGTAATTGAATGATTACTCTCAAAGTCCCTTTATCTCTGGGTCTAGAACAGGGGTGGGCAAACTTTTTGACTCGAGGGCCACAATGGGTTCTTAAACTGGACCGGAGGGCCGGAACAAAAGCATGGATGGAGTGTTTGTGTGAACTAATATAAATTCAAAGTAAACATCATTACATAAAAGGGTACGGTCTTTTTTTTTTTAGTTTTATTCATTTCAAACGGGCCGGATTCGGCACGCGGGCCGTAGTTTGCCCACGGCTGGTCTAGAAGTACCTAGGTCAGACCCAATCTTGGGAATATAGTTCTTTTCATCACTTTGGACTAAGAAATTGCTGCAAAGCCAGGAAATTACCTAAGAGCCAGGTTCATTCAAGCATATTACTTTCCAGAACAGCCTAAGAACTGATGTGACTTCTCACCATGAACCAACCAGATTCTTGCAATGAAACCCAAAATCAGATTAAAAATCAGATTAAATAACTAGAGCAGCATTTCTCAAAGTGTGTTATGTAAGTCCCAGAAGTTCGAGATTGTTTTCCTGGCATCATTTAAACCTGTACGTGTCTCCTACTTTAAGATTCACAGTATATATTATTAGCTAATGACAGCTTTGAGAAGTCTTGAAGAATGGAGGTATATTTAACTTTGAATCATGTTTTCCAAACTTAATTATATTAGACTCCTTTTCTTCTAACAGTGTTAGCAATGCCAAGGAACGAGTGATCCATAAAAGGCACTTTGTGAAACACTGAAATGGAGGCTATTAGTGGGCAGATGGCACCTTCACTGTTAAGACTGAACCATAACCACCAAATGTGTGTTTGAATTATTATTCTAGGACCTCTAATGTAGATAACACAACATGCCCATGTAACAACAAATAGGAAAACAATAGAATGACATTAAGATTTAATTAAATGTAGTTTTTGTTCACTAATGAGACCTTGTCTTTCAAATATTATGTAATTTACATATTCTCACATAATAAACTAGAGGCCTGGTGCACGAATTCATGCTCCAGTGGGGTCCCTCGGTCTAGCCTGCGGGATCAGGCCAAAACCGGCTCTCTGACATCCCCCAAGGGGTCCCTGATTGAGAGAGGGCACAGACCAGGCCAAGGGACCCCACCGGTGCACAATCAGGACCGGGGAGGGACTCCAGAGGTTGGCCAGCTAGGGTGAGATTGCAGGAGGGCTCCCGGACATGTCCAGCCTGTCTCACTCAGTCTCAATTGGCCGGACCCCAGCAGCAAGCTAACTTACCGGTTGGAGCATCTGCCCCCTGGTGGTCAGTGCATGTCATAGCAACTGGTTGACCAGTTGACTGCTCCCTGGTGGTCAGTGCATGTCATAGTGAGCGGTTGAGCAGCCTTAGCATATCATTAGCATATTATGCTTTGGTTGGTTGAACGGACTACTAGACACTTAGCATATTAGGCTTTTATTATATAGGATATATGCAGTCATTCCATTTTGTAGCTTTAAATTGTTTTTATTGCCCTAGCTGGTTTAGCTCAGTGGATAGAGTGTCGGCCCAAGGACTGAAGGATCCTGGGTTCGATTCCAGTCAAGGGCACAAACCTCAGTTGTAGGGTTGGTCCTCGGCCCTGGTTGGGGCACATGCAGGTGGCAACCAATTGATGTGTTTCTCTCACATTAGTGTTTTTCTTTCTCTCTGTCTTTCACTGTCTCTTCCACTCTTTCTGAAAATCAATGGGAAAATATTCTTGGGTGAGGATTAACAAAAAAAAATTCTTTTTTAAATTAAAATCCTTTTCCCCCAGCACAGCTGATGTCGCTTGGTGGTTGAGCATCTTCCTATGAACCAGATCATGGTTCAATTCCCAGTCAGGGCACATGCCTGTGTTTTGGGTTTGATCCCCAATAGGGGGCATGCAGGAGACGGCCAATCAATGATTCTCTCATCATTGATGTTTCTATCTCTCCCTCTCCCTTCCTCTCTGACATCAATAAAAATATATTTTAAAAAATTATTTCCAAATTTGGGATATGTCTATATATATAAAAGTTCATCGACCAGAACGACTGGAACGACTGGTGGCTATGACGCGTGCTGCGGCAGCCAACCAGCCTGATCGGCCTCCCATACCCTGGCTGGCCCGGCTCCTCGATTGGCCCCCAACACCCTGGTCAGAGGCAGGGCCAGCCGCCACCTGTTCGTTGCCGCCAACCCAGCCCCCAATCGGCCCCCAACACCTTGATCGGGTGTGGGGCCAGCCGGCCAACTGCTGCGGTCCCTCCCCCCCGCCAGCCCAGCCCGATGGGCCCCCATTGGGCGACCAGCCAGACCCCACCTGTGCACAAATTTGTGCACCAGGCCTCTAGTATTACTAGATTTTTGTCAAGTAACCATT